CCCCCCAACACCATCAACACCACCACCACCAACATCATCATCACTCTTCTATCCTTATTACGAATAACAGCCTTTGCGAGCCTTGATCAAAGCGCATCGGCTCAAATTGGCATCCGACTCACCGTTTAGCGTTGTCGCAAAGCCAAAAAATAATTTCAGAAGATGAAATGGTGAACATGCGTTTGTTTTCGATAATTCTCATCAGGCCTTTACATTTATATGACAATTAAGTAAATGAATGCGGGTTGGTAGAAAAATAGAACTGTTGTCAGGACAAGAGGAATGGGGGGGGAGGAAAGGGGGGTCAAAATCTGCTCAACATTAGGGGGAACTGGTAGTCGGCTGAGGTGTTAAGTTGCTGGCTGTTGGATTAGGCAGCTTTTGACCATGGTATCTGTTCGCCATTTCATCTTTTGAAATTTTCAATGGGAATTTTCGCAAATTTAAGACAAAAATAATTGTGAAGATAAATAAAAATAAACTAATTTGTCATCGTACTAGAAATAAAACGGGGGAGTGCGTCTGGGTTGGTTTTGAATGAAATAAAAGCGTGGGCCCTGAAAGTAATGAGTTTGGAGTTCTCTTACTCCTTCAACCAGACCAAAGACATTGTCGTATTCTAATCAACCTATTAAACCGTTGATTTCGCTTTCTCTATCTGGTGATCCCAGCTCGGTCAACAAGGACCCGCTTTTACGTGATAGCTGACCCTGCCTGCCTAGTCCACCCTCGAGTCTATTTAGGGCGTTTAAAACTCTACTGATTAGACTTCTACGTTGTAAACTGTCCTTCGTCTTTCGACAGGCTCCTGATCGTTCCCTGCCAATGACGTGGGCTCGCATGAGTCACCCGAAACCACCTTGCCAAGGTCACCCATTAATCCGCTGTTGTTGCTGTTGTTTTCGGTACTCTCCTGAAATTCGGGTGCCAGACCTCAACTTATAGAGAAAACAGGCATATCTGCTGCAGATCCTGTAGTGAATATGGCTCGGTGACGTCACACCCGCATGACCTTAGGTGTTCGGCATTGCAGTCGGCACGACATGGCCCCGTGGCTCAACAAACAGAACGTTTTACTCAGATGCTTGTCGACCGCTTGAGCCGGTTCCGAATTTCGGGCTTGCGTAACACGATATTGGGGTGGGGTTACTGACTGATAACAAACAACAGGTTGTACTCCGTAAGTTGGAGCGAAGTCATGAACTAACTATGTCTGTGCGTCCTCCTGTGCGGGCATTATTTTGTAGTCAGCAGAGCTCATGGCAGTTGGCATTTAGAGTGCGTCCTATCCGTTTTACGTATGTATACCATGTCACAAATAGTGACCTATTTTCTTCAATTGAGTTCTGCCTATTTCACTCGGGGAATACAGATTAACCGCCGTTAATCCGGTCATATTTCGGCTTGTTTACGCGCGATCCCACAATCACGTCCTTAGAAAACAACTCAGCAAAAGAGGAAAGTAAACTTACCGTTCTTCTGCTCGCCTTACCTTCTCAATTATATCAGAAAACCTGCACTTTTGCTTTAATTAGCAATATATGTGTATATATCGCTTTCATCATTCCCGAAAGAGGAGGAGGGGGCAATTCCTGAGACCAAGCTCTTTTTAAGCTGACGTTTCGAAAAAATTCTCGCCTTCATCGTCAGAGCGTAGTGTCTATTCTCCTGCTGGCGTCCAGTGAGTGTGTCTGACCGCTAGACGTGTGCTATAACTGTGCCTGATGCACTAAAAAACGCACAGGATGATATTTATGATTCAACATGTTCGCTCCATATCATTCAGAACTCTTTCACTGAACAGAAACCAGTTATTTTCTCCCGTTTACTTCTTGTTTTTGCGTTTACTGTACCGCCGGGGCGAATCATAAAATTGCACCACTAGCGCGCAACATGGTCGCCAAAGATGTCTTTGTTCTGACTCGTATGTTGCAGTATTTTACATGTCACGACAGGGGTAGCCACAGACTTCTTGTCTGGCGCACCGATCGACCAGCATGACTCGACTGCCTCCTCCTCTTCTTCCTCCTCCTCCTCCTCCTCCTCC